CGGCCCCTCTGGGCGGGCAGCTGGTGGCGGGAAGGCGGTTTGGTTTCCCCGTGGCGGCACCGGGGGCTCGCACTGAGGTATTATTACCCGGTTGCTGTTTTAGGGCTGGATTAAACACCTTTTAACCTAAACATAGGCTGTTAAAGCCGTGTTTATCATCGTGCTAACTTACCAGCACAGCGTTTTCTGAGCGCGAATGGGTCACTGAAAGGACTGGCTTGGATTTTTCTAGCTTGTCCTATAAATATAAACGTTTAACTTTTTGTAGCGTTCTAAGCAAATAGTAGAAATTTTTCTAATTAAGTTTTTTGTCGAGGATATAGTCTTATTGAGGAAGCTTTTTTTTTTCAAGAGAACCTCTTCTCTGTATCCTTTTTCTTTGTTTTTGAAGGAAAAATAGGGTTGTCATCTGTCTCCCGGAAAGCTGGACAAAATTTTGATAGTTGTTTATTTCATTTGCGCGTCTGTATTTTGTGTTCTTGTTTGTATCATGTAAGATAAAATATGTGAGTGAAGTACTACTCTTTTTTTTCCCTTTAGCGTGGGTATTGTTGGGTTTTTCTCATTTCTGTTTTGGTAAAATGACACTAATGCCAGGTTCTGGGCCCTGGCATACAAGTGGCATATTTTGGCTGCCTGGGCTTCCCTGGAGTTACTGAGCTGTGCAGGAGTTTCATTCACATGTGCCATCTTCCAGGATCTGGATGTTTGTGGCAAGGCAGAGGTCAGAACTACTTTAATATCTGTGGAAAGATCTGGATCCCTTCCCATCCTACACAGAACTCTTTTAATTGCTCAATTTTTGTTAACTTCTGAAAGTAAAATCACCGTTGATTGTTAAAACTGACATGGATCCTCAGGAGGAGGCAGTGGAAGGCAGGAGGAAGAAACCTGACACAGGCTGGCTATGGGCATTTTGGCTACAGTGCTGTTTTTTCTTCTCTTGTTCGAGTGGTGTTATAAATGCTCATGTTTTCACCAGTGTTTTCTCACAGAGGTGAGAGCAGGAAGGAGAAGTGCTAACACAAATACAGTTTGTTTCATCACCTTTAATGGGACTTTAAAATGTCACCTGTTTTTCAGTTATGATTTTTCTGAGGTGTTCTTACTGGGATTACCAAAAAACAAAGCCCTTGCTTTCCTTTCAAAGTCAGATTTAGTCCAAATAAGCTTAGAGCTGCATTGTCTTTCTCTTTTTTAGGTAGCTTTCCAGGATGCAGGAGGAAAGCCAGCAGACTCTTTTATGTATCTTCTTTAACTTTTACATCACAATTTAAGAGAAATCTGGTGGCATTGCAGTCCATCGTGTAGGACAGATCACCAAAAAATCATAGTAAGTGCACACTGTAACTCTTTCTCATTTTTTTCTTCTGCTTCTAGATCCTCGGTTATTTTACCTAAGTTAAGTGATGGAAACTTACACTAAAGAAAAAAAATCACCCTTGGATCTTTGGCATTCATATTTGTGTGAAAGAATCTAGGATGTTCCGAGAAAACACATCAGCTGATTGCTTAAATAAAATAACAGCCTCTACTGAAGATGGTGCTTTCCAAAGAAAAGTCCATAGTGCAAGAATCCTTAGCCCAGAAGAAGCTGAGAGACTGTCAAAAGATCAGGTTTTGGTGTCTGAGTTCAAAAAACTAAAACTGGAGAAAGAGGCACAGAAGAACTGGGATCTGTTTTACAAAAGAAACAGCACCAACTTCTTCAAAAACAGACATTGGACAACCAGAGAGTTTCAAGAGTTAAAAGCATGTCGGGAGGTGAGGCCTATACACTTCCTCTGTAAAAGATGGGATTGATTGTTTCCAAATGATTTAATAATAATAATAATGATAACAAAGTTGTTGGGGTATGAGCTGTCACATGTTAAGTTTGCAGTGCTCTGTGTAGTTTCTCTTAATATGAAAGATACCTCCTCAGAATCAGATGCATCAGTTCAGTTTATAGTTGACCCATACTGGATACTAAGAGCAAAATCTGGAATAGTTGTTTTGTGTCCTAAATAGACAACTTGTCTCACTGTGATGTGACATTTTCGGATGCATGTTGGTGCACTTCAGAACACTACTTTTAAGAAAAGCATCCAGAATTACAGGCTAATTACAAATCATTGTTAAGACGAATAGCTAGGTGAATCTGTTGTTCTTTGTTCCTGAAGGAAAGACAGAAATGATACAACAGTCTGTTGATTACTTAAGGGGTAGCTGACTAAAGAAATACTAATATGTTCTAAAAAGATTTGTAAATTGGCAGAAATCAAGATTTCTGTTTTGTAGCATCAGATTATCCAATGGATGCCTACTTTGGTTTTTGAATCAATGGTAATTAAAATTGATTATAGCTTTTAAAATGCTGATTGAACAGTGTCTCTGTTCATATCATGAGGAAAACAAAAATGATGTGCTTTATTTTGGATTTCTTCCTCCCCAGTTTGCAGATCAGAAACTTACCATTCTGGAAGCAGGCTGTGGGGTTGGGAACTGCTTGTTTCCACTCTTAGAAGAAGATCTGAATATTTTTGCGTATGCCTGTGATTTCTCTCCTAGAGCTGTTGAGTATGTGAAGGTGGGTGTGATATTTGGTACTTCTTTTAGAGTGTCTTTGGAAGTTTCTGAAATAACACATGACTGTAATGACAGACTTCTCTTGCCTTCCTTTTTGTAAGAAGGGTAGAATAGTTTTTGCCAAAAAATGGACGCTGTTTCATTTCTGTGGAGCTCTATGCAAAAAGCTGAATTGTTGTTCAAGACCTAGTTTTTTAGCATCAAATTGTAGCATTGTGGTAATATATGTATATTACTTGAATGATTTATGAAGACGCTGGTTTTTGGGAGCACTGCTATGTCTCTGCTGACTGTGCAGTGCAAGCAAAATTTGTTTGGAATGCAAACTTGCCCTTGATATTGGTGGGGCAGAGGGAGTCCCAAGGAGAATCTTGAAAACAGGACTGTGAAAGTTATTGCTTAGGAAATGTGTAGCTTGATTAGAAACAGGTATGTTTGTGAATATTCATAGGTATTGCAGTCCAAAGTCAAGTCTTCCAGCAAGGCTGGTGGGGGCTTTGGCCTTTAGAAGTCTCCTGGTTTATTAAGTTTGTAGTCACAGGGAAATTTCTATGTATCACTTGAAAGCATTCTGTTGTGGGACATTTGTGACTGAGGACCACAAGACACATACTGCGTGTCTCATGGGAAAGATGGGAAGAAATACATCTGGCAAACAGGAGAGGACAGCACCTCCCTGGGATGCCACAGCTGCACTGCAAGATGAGGTTGGGCTGGGTGTGTGCCCTGGCTTTTGGATGATTTAGTGGTGCCTGCCTCCACAGCCCTTGCTGAAGATCAGCCTGGCTGCAGATTAAGTGACCTGAACCCAAACTGTTTGCAGTCTACTTGCATCTCAGGAGATGTACTTTGATCAACTTGTTATACAGAAATTATTTTAGTAATATTTCTGTATTTCTAAATAGTAGAAGCAGCAGTAAAACAGAAATGGTATGTTTTCTGAACTGTCTTAAGGCACGTTCCTTCTCAAATTCCTGAAAACAGACTGTTCTAGTAGTTGTAGTTTCACTGCTGTATGCAGTGAAGAATTTCTGAGTGCATTAGTCACCTGGTGGAAGTTAATGTTCTTTTGCCACCAAGTTTTGTGTCATTGTACTGATTAGTTTCACAAGTTTTTTTACTTCTTTGCAATAAGAAATGCTGCTAATTTTCAGTGAAAGCATAATCTTTTCATTTTCCTAGAAAAATGCCTTATACAGTACTGAAAGATGTAAAGTGTTCCAGTGTGATCTTACCAAAGATGATCTTCTAGAAAATATACCAGCAGATTCTGTGGATGTTGTGACACTTATATTTGTGCTTTCTGCCATTCATCCTGATAAGATGCATCTTGTCTTGAAGAACATTTACAAGGTAAAACCAGTTGATTTTACAGCCTTTCATTTACAGCATTTTCATTCTTTTTAGCTTGAAAGTACAATTATTTTTTTTTTTTCTGAGAAAATAACTCCTCTTGTAATGGTGATCTTTAACACTATATTCTATGGATGTATTTAGTTAGTTCACCTAGTATACAGGACTAAAATGTTTTACAATGTTTGTTTTCTCTCTTGGTATTGTGAGGTTTTTTGGATTCTGGCCTAATGCATGCCATCAACATAACAAAAAGGTATTCTGAACCTGTGACTTCGGCTCCTCGATTGTATGCTACAAAAAATGTTTGTGGGTTGCATAAATGTCTGTGTTGATAGGGTGTGAATGACAGTGAACCAAAATTGACTTCCAGAAGATAAAGTGACTTGCAGCTAGGATGTTACTGTTATTATTAAACGCACTTAATCTGTGGTGATTTAGAAGTGGGGTGTTCAGAGGTCATTAATCTAGAGAGACTCATCTCCCTGGGCTGCCTGTTAGCTGATAGAGTAGGATTGACCCATCCAGAGGGTGATTTAAACAATCTGAATTGTGATTATTCAGAATTTCCCAGAGATGTCATATATTGACCACAGAGAGAAATGGTCAACATATTTTTTATTTATGCCTATGTATGTATTTGGGGTTTTATATTATCATATATCCTGTTTGTTTTATCATCAGTAGTTTGAAAAGGGAATGTTAGATTTTTTAGTATATCTCCAGCTGTTTTCCAAAGTCAGGATTGGTTTTTAGCTCATGCACATGAAAAGGCTAATTATTGTTTTCTCTGTGGAGGTGCCTGGCTCATTTAACTCCCTTGTAGGTTTCTGCACAAATTTGCAAGTGGCAAGTACTCCTTCTCTTCTCTAACAAATACAGCTGGTATTTGATGAGGTAGGAGAGTCACATGCATCAAATATCTGAAGTCAACATGGCCAGTGACCATGTATTTTTAAATTTTAAACTCTTTATGGCTTGATTTTTTTACCAAAGAGCAAATAAAAAAACCTTCCACATGCATCAAATATCTGAAGTCAACATGGCAAATGACCATGTATTTTTAAATTTTAAACTCTATGGCTAGATTTCTTTACCAAAGAGCAATTAAAAAAACCTTTCAACCAATATTTCTGAAATTGTTCCTTTTTTATTTCTTATATTGCAACGTTTTTATTTCTCACATGAAAAAAGAAATGGTATTCTAAATTTTGGTGTTTTACTCTATTGGTATATTTGGTATTCTAATTTTTTAAAAAGATGATATTCTAAATTTTGTTGTTAGTCATTAAGCAGAATCAAGTGCTAGACTATTGTGATAGTTTCACTGGGCTAGCCCTTGGCTAGCAGCCAGCACAGCCGTTCACCCACTTCACCCCCACCCCCAGGGGATAGGGGAGAGGACTGGGGGGCAAGGATTAGGAGGCTTGTAGGTTGAGATAAGAACAGTTTAATAATAGAGAGAAAACTTAAAATAATACTCATATTAAAATAGTAAAGATAATGATAACAGTAACAAAATATGCAAATAAGTGACACCCAATGTTATAGCTCAGCCCCCTCCTGACCGAGCCCGGCCCGTTCCCAGATAACGATCCCAGAGGAGCAACAATCCCGAACTAAAACCGCAATCCCGGAAGAGTGAGGGCCCGAGCGAAAGCCAGAGAGAGCTGAGAGAGGGAGAGACCCTCACTGATATACTGGACATGACATGATATGATATGGAATACCCCATTGGCATATCTAACTGTCAATTAAGTTTATTAATTTAAATATTCTTCATCCCCCTTAAATCTTGTGCTTGTGGACACAAAGTCCTTCACTTCCAGGGACAAAAATGTAAACATTGGTATGGTATCAGCGTCTCTCTCCCAGCGAGTACCAAGCTGGAAAATAAAACACCACTCTTCTAATTACTAAAAAGAAAAACAGCTCTATTTCAGCTAAAAACCAGGACAACTATATACTACCCAACAAAGAAAATGCCCTGTTAGGATTTAATTTTTATTGTTAAACTCCATATTTTCTTTTTTCCTCTGTATTTGAAGTGTTGCAAAAAGCTTATTTTGCTGCTCAGTACCCAAGTAGGTATCTTAAAACTATTTGTAGTCTACTGTTCATGGGGAAGCATTTTTAAGAGTGGACAATCCAGTTTACATACAATTTTTTTGTTGCACAGGAAATGATTTCAATATATATGTCACTTATGTACTGAATGTGTTAGGATACCTTGTTTAGTTATATGTGTATGGGTCTGTATGTATATACAAACAAATATGCATATATATGGCTAAATCCATTTACCTTTTTAAAGCATATATGTATTATGTGGCAGGTATTAAAACCAGGGAAGTGTGTCTTGTTCAGAGACTATGGACTGTATGATCATGCAATGCTCAGGTTTAAATCTGGCAGCAAACTTGGAGAAAACTTCTATGTTAGACAAGATGGGACAAGATCATATTTTTTTACTGAAGGTAAGACATTTCTACAGCGTGCTTTATTTTCTGCGAATCTTCTGTTTAAACTTGATTCAGGGAATTGCCAACATGTCCATGAAAGTTTTGTTTTGTGCAGCTGAACTGTTAAATCATGGTGTACTTTGTTTGCCATCCTTTTTATGGGAGGAAGAGGGTATTTAGTCTGGTAGGACTTTTTGTAGCACATTCTTGTTTACAAGCTTCTTGTGTGCTATAATGTGCCAAGAGCAGTTTCTGAATTGGGTAGATTTCATTCAGAATTGTTATCTAAAGGAAAAAAGACCAATGTTCAGTAACAGAATTTATCATCTTCGTGAAGCAACTCAGCAGTTATCTTGGCATCGTTCTTTTTGCAAGGCTATTCCTGGTGTGCAAGATGAGGTCTACTGAAGAAGTCAATGACTTCTAAAGTAGAACCATGACTACAGTGCTGAGAAGCTTGTGCACAAATCCTGCTGAGGTAGCTCTGACTAGTTGGGGTCACTCTGTTTTCTGTTGTTGGTTTTTTGTTTGGTTTTTTTTTTTTTTAAAGATGATACAGAAAACATTTCCTTGTGATACAGTATATAAACAGGTTTTTGTTCAGTGCTTGGAATGCTTTAGGAAGTAAAGTAATTATTGCAGTTTAGTGGTGGAGAATTTGAAGCACAGAGACATGAAGGAATTTGCTTAGACTCTCCCAATGAATTGGGATTATAGCTTGTCTTCTAACTCCCAATTTCTCATCCTAAACTTTAGTGAACTGTTACTTCCCACTATCAATTATAGGGCATTGTGTAATAAAAGCTGTGTGTTTTTTTTTCTGTGGGGCTCTTTGTTCTTAGTCTAAAGCAAAATACAGCCACTGAAGAGACTGATTTGGAGCCAAGTAAATGTTACTCATATTTTATGACATAATGTATTACTGATACACTTCTGATATATAAAACCCATTCATCTTGTCTGAGCTCTCCCTATTCTTTATAGGACAATAATGAAATCTAAGATAATGCAGGCTGTGCTACAGCTTCATCAGAGCATTTCTAGAACTGTTATTTATTGAGTGATTTTTAGTTCTGTTTAAACAATTAATTCTTACAAAGAGAATGGATGCTAAAGGGAACAAATAAGAGCCTGACTTAGCTGTGGAATTTTAAATCCCAATTTTATTGTGTGTTAGAATTGTTTCTGAATGAGAAATTCCTTACTAGTATGCATGTTTACTTTGCAGGAAGAATTGAGATAGGGAAGAGGAAGATGAAGGAGGGAGAAAAGAGAATTTATCTTATATTGCTCATTTTAGCAATGATTTTGCCTTGGATTGGTCTGTGACTGTCTCATGGACCACCCCTGCTCCAATTTTCAGTCATTACGATCTCATTCATGTCCCTGATTTTCATATAAATATTGCTTTATGCTTGAGAATTCTTTTGTTATTAGGAACATGACTCCCATCGTTTCTGCACAGTTTGCAACCCACACTATTTTTCATCTGTTTATAGCACTACACTTGTATACCAAGTAATTGCTGCATGGGATGATTTGAATTGTACTTATTTATAATGTATCTGTCCTCAGATAACAACAGTGAGCTTCTTCCATGGAAAAAAAAAAAAAATTCATTCTTCCACTATTTGAAATAATACTAAATATGTGGAAGAATGCATGCTTGTAGTTTTGTGTTATAAAATATGCGCAACTTCCTCACAATGAGACTTTGATAGGTCCACAATTAAGTGCTGTTTATTTGTATTTCATTGATGTGAATCCTCCATTTTAGATGAACACACTATGTTTACTAGTGCATGTGGCTTCATGGTGGGCTTAGGCTGATATAAGCCTGCACTACCACCAAAGTGGGTAGTCTTATCTTCCTTCCTCAACGCACTACCTCTTCTAGTGCTGGGGTTCCTGTACCCTCATGATCAGCTGTTTCATTGAGCTGATCCCCCTGAGCAGTGAAAAAATTGCATGTCTTTGTTTTCTATCAAGTAGCACAAGTTTAGAATGACTTAAATTTATTGTGAAATTGCCACCTGAGTAAAAGAAACAAGGTGTGGGAAAGGAAGAGTTATGATTTTTAATTAACGTGGCAAGTCAACAGCATGAGCACTGCTCTCTGCTGCATAGGTCAAACCTGTTTGTGAGGTACTTCTGCCTTCCCTAAGAGAGATATGCTTTAAGTAAGATTCTTTTTTTTGTGGAAAATACTTCCAGTTTGACTTAGTGAAGTCTTTGCACTACCATATCCACTTTCCCATTTTGTCCTTTTTTCTGCTAAGCAATGGCATGTGAATGTCTGGTGTGGTAGGCTGGTATTCTTCCTCAAGCAGAGATGTGTCTGCAAGGCTGGATTACCTTTGAAATATTTGAAGTAAGAAGTGATGTATTCAGCTAGCGAAGGTCAGCTACGCAAAGGGAAAATGCAGTGGTGTCAGTCACAAGGAGAATGATGAGGCTCAAAAATAAGAGATGTGGCAAGTTTTGGAAACTAAACTGAGTAACTAGCTTAAGCCCCAGTTTTACAAGCTGTTTTACTTAGATTGATGTTTCTAGAGGAGATCTGTATTGATTTTTGTTGAGCAGTTTGCCTGCATAGAACTGGTTGAAATCTGAAAGCCTGTGTGTTTTCCATGCTATAACACATAAGAACGTATCCTTATATAAATGCTGTCTAGTGTTTTAAAAACAGCATAATATTTAATCTTATCTTTTAAAATTCTCTTCCAGAGTTCTTGTCTCAGCTTTTCAAGGCTGAGGGATATGAGCAAGTGGTCAATGAATATGTGCATCGAGAAACTGTCAATAGGAAAGAAGATTTGCGTGTTCCAAGAGTTTTCCTTCAAAGCAAATTTCAAAAGCCTTTCAGTAAGACATAAGTTCTTGCTGATTAGCAACAGCATTACATGTTTGAAATGGAAGCTAGCATGTAGTTTTTCCTTGTGTGTGCTCATATTTCCAGTAAACCAGAAATGACTGCATCCAGTACCTCTTGTTGGTTTTCATCCTCAGATACGAAATATGAATGCTCCTTCTAATTAAAATTTACGATGGTTTAGTGATGCAGGCAACCAGCTGAGTATCTGTATTCCTGCCTCTAAAGTAAATCCTGTGCAGCATTGTTGAAGAATCAGGTAAAGCACACTAAATATGGTTAATTTTAAGCACTCATTAGTTATTATCATAATTGTTATTTCAATTTTTATTAAAAACTATTTCTTAAATAAGTATCCTGTGTTTCGTATCATGTATGGTTTTTGTAACCTGTTAAAGTTAGAACATTTCATCTGCTTTCAATGCTTGTGAGACTTCTCAGTGTAATTTCTCAGATACAGGAATGAAACAGACTCAGTGAGTGGTATAATGTAAGCTGCTTTGGTATTTTAATAATGATATATTTGTAATATGCTCAGCATTTAGATATGTAAACAAATCTGATTTCATGCTTGAATAAAGCTATTAGAGGATCAGGTTGTCTTTATCCCTGGTTAATTTCAGCTGTTCTTCGTTTGATGAGCAGAAATAGCCCCTCAGTTTCCCATTTGGAACTGAAATCAGTGAGTCAGAAGTACTTTCTTTTATACCAAGTGTAAACAGCTGCTTCTTTCCTCAATAGAGGTCTTCATTCTTTTCCATCAGTCTCAGGAAAGGTGTTGGTCTTTGCTGTTCTTATCACTAAAAGCCACTGTATTGATGCTGTGTCTCATAGCCTGCCACAGACTTAACTGCTTGAAGGAATTTAATCCTTTCTCCTTCAACAGCCCCGGAGCTTAGCATTTCAGAACCTCTCCTTTGTTCTTAGATGACATAATCTCACAAACATGGCTGGATCTTTAACCTGCATTTTGAACACCTGCTATGCAGGAGGGGAATCTCAGAAGTATCTGGTGACTTGTGCAATGGGCTGTACTGATCTTGTGTAATGTACACAAGTTGCAACAAAGGAAATTCAAATGAAATACTAAGCTTTTTTTATGTGTAAGGGGTGGTCAGATACTGGGACAGAGACCAGAGAAGTTGTGGAACCTCTGTCCTTGGAAATACTTGGAAATAGACTGGGGAAGGCATTGATAAACCTGTGCCTTTATTTCAAGGGATTTAATCTCTTGCAGTATGTATTAATATGTGACTGACTTGGGCTGTCATTCCCCTGGACTTGTGTGTTGTTTATAAATAAATTTGCAGCAGATAATTGCTTTGCATCAGGGCATCACAGGTTGGGTTTTTTGGGGTTTTTTTTGTGATGACGTGAGCCCAAAAGCTGGATTTATTGTATCATCAAACTTTGGCCTCAGAGGAAATAAGTGATTAAACTACACAATTCTCCCAACGGCTCTTTGGGGATGGTTATTACATGACATCTTTTTTTTATGGAGAGTATCATCCTGGGGATTTATGCATTCATGACCCCTGCTGTGCAACCCATTAGCACTTTCTGCCGTGCTAGTAATAAATATCTAGTAAATGAAAAAATATGTTAAAACAGGGTATAACAAATATAGCATTATTCTAATATGAGCAATCATATTTTTGCAGCTTCCCTCAGCAAGTGTTCGTCTTTAGTACAGCAGTTCTGCAGTGACTGCATGTCGTCTGAGCTCTGTTGATTATTAGTGGGGCTTGAACCTCTGTAACACCAAGTGCCTTACAAGACTAATCTTTGGTCCTTTTTAGAGTATACAGCACATAAATGAGACTGAAGGATTGCCTGGCGTGGCACCTCGTCACTTTGCCATATGATTGTTGGCATATGCAAAGGCAAGTGCACTGAACTGGGCATTCCAGAAAGGAAATTAAATGTAGGCAAGTACTAAAAATATTAATCAGAAGGTCTGAGTCAGCCCAGTAGATGTAGCTGCAGACAGCCATTGACTTCATTTTTACACTGAACTAACCGTTGCCTGGACAGTAGTACACCTTTTTTTAGCTGGCTGTAGCTTCAGTCTTTCTGTGTGTTTCTCCTTGAGGAACTACTGTTACTTTTTGCATAGCAACACATTAAACAGAGAGCAGGATTTCTAATTTTTTTAATTTCTCATTCAATCTCATTTCCAGTTAGACCTGGAAAATAAAGTACCATGCATTAGTGCCCCTTGCCAGAAAGCTGTAGTTGTCATAAGGCAGAGGTTATTTTTAAATGAATGATCAGAAAGCTTTATTTGGTCTCTATACCCCTGCTTCTGTGAACTCTAAATCATTGCAAGTTTTTGTAACTGTGGTAAAGTTTGAGGAAGTTGAGTCAGCTTTAAGAAATCCTTGCCTCATCATATGAGACACAATAATCGATGGGGTCCATGTGTCTGTTTTAGTGCTGAGTAAAGTGGATATACTTCCCCTCCAACCCTTCAGCCTATCCAAGCTCATGTAAGCTCACCAGAGGTAACACATGCCAGGGATACCCATACCTTAGATACCGTAAGGACTGTACTTAGGGAGATGTGGTAATCAGGGTAAATAGCATCAAAAGGACTTGGAAAAAAATGTACATGCACTGAATCTTACTCACCTTGCACAGACAAGCTACTATGCCATGATTGTAATAAATGTCTTAGTTGTTCTTTGATTTTGTATTCAGTCAGTGGGGGCTACTGAGACCGACTCAGTTGTCTGTAGAAGACCTTCCATTTGCTTCCCTTAAGCTGAGCTAGATGTACTGTCTGGTGTGCATAAGTAGTAAGTTACTTCATGTCATCACACTGTGTTGGGCAGTGTTTAGAATAGTAACACATAATTATTGAATTACTGGGACTAAGAAAACCCCTTTTTTATTTATTTTTGTAATGGTTTGATGTGCTGTGATTACATTCTCTAATCTTTAATAAAGTATGAACCATGGTTAAAGCTTTTCCTCTGGTTAGGGAATCCTACATGTGACTTTCTGGTGTGGGATTATCTACTGTCTCCTACTGGAATTAGACAGCATGTGTTAAGGTATCATGTTAATGAGGCAGTGTCTCAGTGAGGACTTGAGTAAGGTCTGTCTGTTGGCTATTTTCATCAAATTTACAGAAATGTTATGTCTTTGAGTCTTCTGACATTTCATGTCCTTTACTGTTCTGTCAGATTTGGTTGATACTGTCTAATGTGTTTGACAACAGGCTAAGACTAGAGAGAAATCCCCATGTGTTGTGCATATACTGTGTGAATGGATAAGTTTTGTTTCCTTAGAAATATGGGCTGCTGAGAAAAATCTATTTGAACTTTAAAGCAGTGGTATCACAGCAGGTTTTGTTTATTTTATTTGATAACTAAAAGGCTATTTCTGTGCGTCTTTCAAGTACCTGAAGGTTCCTTGGGTTCCAAAGGCAGAATATTTAAGCAGCTGATACAATACTATGCCCATGGTGGATTGTGCATAATTCCTATGAAACAAAGTGCTATAAAAGTGGAACCTGAAACTCAAGCATCTATAAGCATCAGCAGCCAACTGTAAAACATACAGTGTTGGTCTCATAAGAGAAAACTGCTATATGAAATCTGAAAGGTCATTTATAGGCCTAACTGATGATGTTCTTTTTTTTTTTCTTGATCTGTTGTAGAGTTTCTACATCTGAATATACTGAGAGATACAAATTACCAATTAGGAAGCGTTTTACTGGAAGAGTTATTTGAAAGAGATATATAGATAGATATATGTATAGGTGTGTGTATATATATATATTTGGAGAGGACACCAGTGTTGAGAATCAGTATGTGAAGGAAAAAAGGTAATGTTATGTTTAAGGTTCTGGGGGAAAAAAAAAATAAAAAATTCTGAGTTTCTCAGGCCAGGGATGACATGCAATTAATGAGTTGTTCATCTAAAAGGTGAAATTTTGAGAATGAAAGCCTGCAGCTTCCAAAACTAGTCTAATGTTACAGACAAGCAGAAGGGCAACGTCTAATTGTGTGCAATATTAGTAATACATGCAAGACTATCTGGGAAGCAGAATTTTATATTGGGAAGATAGTGTTAAGGTATAGTTAGTGAAAATAGGTAAGTCTTTGTTTATGGAGTTTTACCTCCTGTAGTATAGCTCTGATGAATTTTTCACTGTTTATGCTTGTTGTTATTAGGAAGGATCATGAACCATTGGGGAGCAAACATTTACTAGTTATACATTCTGCAAAAACATCTGGCCCTTGAGTGCAGTGGGTTCAGAATATCAGTATGTTTGTGCTCTGTATTTGTAATATGAGTTCACTTATGAGAACAAAGGCAGATGATGAGCCTGCTATGGGGAGGCACACAGGCATTGCTTGCAAGGGCAAAGCTGTTCTCCAGGTAAGATAGTCCCTTAGAGAACTTTTTTCATTCCTGTTTTCCAGGGTGATATGCACCATTCATTGTGTTTGCAGCAGGGAGAAAATACTGCTGCTGTGAAATCAGGGAAGACAAGGGCACAAGAAAAAGGCTACAAGATTCTTCCAAATGACTAGTGATTTTGTGTACCACTACTTAAATTATGCTGTTTGGGAACATATACCCCATTTTCCAGCAAATCTTAGGTCTCATCCTTGGAAAATTCGGTTGCTTCTGAAGGTCTTTGCCAAAGACATAGGTGTAACCAATGCATGCTTGTAGAGTATATGAAGTGAAGGATTTGGAAAGGCAGCTGTGAAAATATAAATCTAGGTTTGCTTTTCTCCCTTGACTTGTAAGAAGCATTATACTTCACTGTCACTTCTGTGCTTTTTCAGAGTTCCCACTTTGAGGTGTCTCTGCTGTCTCTGCTTGTTTAAGCTAAATGTGTCATATCAACTCCAGCTCAGGTTGCTGGTGCTTCTAGTATCCAGAGAATTATCTGGGAATAATTGAGAGTAGTTGTAGTTTGGAGGAAAAAGTCAGAGTAGACAAGTCACAGCCTGCCTACTGTCTAAGCTCCACTCAGTAATTTTCTATAGTCACCTCCTCTGGAGCCTTGGATTTCTGTGGTAGAATTTGAATAGCAGAGAAGCTGCTCTTCAGTGGGGTAATGATATCTTCATGCGTATGGGATTGTTGTGCATCTGAAATGTAAGGATTTTGATGTGCTTTTTTTTAATTGTCCCTTTTTTTTTTTTTCTAATTTTGACTTCAAGCTTTTGTGTGAAAGATGACATTTAACTGGAATTTTAATAATCTAATCATCTATTAGAACCCTTTTTCTTTTAAAGGTAATAGACCTGTTGCTGTTTTACTAAAACCAGAGTATTCAAAAGCAGGATAGAAGAAGATTGGGGCGGGGGGGGAGGAAAGGAGGGTTATTTTCTGCACAAATACAATAAATGTTCTGTTCTACTTGTTTTACTAGCAAATAAAATTTCATAGGAACATAAAAATACTTTGAAGAACCCACAAAAGTGTTACCATTAATTTTTTCTGAACTACCTTCAGAAAGATAGTTCTGAAATCCTGTACAACTTCTTAGACTTAACTGTGACCAGATGGCTGAAGTATCTAAACACAGATCTCACATTCAGCATTTGAGGATGCTCTGTCATGTCCATTAGGACCTGGCCCTAGGGTTTGTAACTTCTTGCCTGGCTGACTGTGAGTCTCCGCCCGATACAGCAGCATACACTCTTTGCCCCACAGTATATGCGACAAAAGACTTTTGCTGCCTTTGGATCAGCTTCCAGGAACAGTTTCAGGTTTTGGTTTTGATTTTGAAAGCAGCTAATAAATTAAGGATCAGCAACCATCCGTATATTCTTGATCTGTGCTTGCCTGGTACGTGATGGCCAAGAGAAAGCATGTTAGAGATGAGAATAAAACTCAGAAGAGAGAAGAACCCACTTGGAAGCAAACTGTAGCAATCAAGCTGGTGTAGAGACAGAATGTATTTTAGAAATACTGAAAAATCTTCCTCTTACAGACTTCCCTCTATACAAAATATTAGCCTGCCCTTTTACTCAAGGTTCCTTTGTTCCTTGGTTCCTTTCCAAGCCACTAAATAAAGACTTGAAAAAATGAACATAACTGAACCTTAAAGGAAAAGAAAATACCGTCAACAGACTCTCCAACAAGAACCACATATATCTCTTAAAGTAGGGCGGTGGTGTTCTCAGAAGTTCACTGAAGAGGTGAGCTCACAGGGTGAGCTTGTCAACTGCTACTGGCACTGAGAGCTTTTACCTTGGTTCCATAATGCACAGTTTATACTTCATATGTAAAGACTTCTTATGGGAGCAATTTGTCTGATTTGGTCACCAGTAGTAGATCAGTGAGACAGAATGATTTTGCAGTTATAACAGATCTGAAGATGTATTAGTGCTTCTGTAAAAGAAAGGCTTTTTGTGAATGAATGATGAACTGAAGGAGCAAGAATGTTTTGCCAATGCTAGCAACAATATGGTTTGTTCATGTGCCATGTGCTATCATTTGGTAGGAAATACAATGTTGGGCAGCATTTTGTAGTATGGCAATAAAAATCCAAAGATTAATATCCTTTTATTTTATTTTATTTTTTTTTTTAAAGCAGCTTTCAGAAATTCAAAGAAAGGAGCTGGAATATGCCTGGCATGCTCACAAATCATGCAAGTAAAACTGTAGCTGCTACAGTGACATTATTCATATTTAAATACCAAACAAAGTTGCAGATATGCTATGCCAAACTTTGCTCCAGGGACACTCAGAATGGTTTTGCAGCACAGGTAGCAGTACTGTAACTGTCTGTTACTGTGATGATACTGTTTTGTTTCATGTAGCCTTGTAGAGAGTTGAGAATATGTTACTGTTGACTACATTTATAAATATGAGTAAAGTATGAGTCATAAATATGCAAGTATGAGAAATTTGCTTTTGTGGCTTGATTTGACATTTCCTGGAGCCTTAAACATCATATATCCTTACTTTAGCTAGGTTTTTATTGCTGTTGATTTTTATGGTGCATGTGTTGAATATTACAGGAGGTGGCAAGAAATATATAAAGTGCTGAAATGGTAGATTGTACAGGACTACAAGTGTCTCAGAAACCAGAGTGAATGGAACCCAAATGTCAAGTTTAACATATGGCATCTTCTGAAGAGGATTCTTTTGAACAAGCTCCTTTAAAAATATTCAATGCATACTGCTTGTGGCAATATCTGGAAACCCATGAATGGGACAGCATTGTTCTGGGTGCTATAGACACAGAGAATAAGGGACAATCGTGGTCCTAAAAATTGTAACCAGTTACGTAAGATGGGTAAGAGGAGGAAGGACATCCCATTTGTGATAAGATACAGAGATTAATGTTTTCCCTGCTTCAATTTAAGTTACTGTGAAAATGGGACTGAAGAAATTACTTCCCATGTATGGATTCAGTACTAAATAACAAGCCATCTTGCTGCAGAGAAGATCCTCTGTTAATGAGAGATACTAGTTCTAATGAAGGAAAACATGGTTCCTCAATGTCTTGGTCACTGCAATTTGAAAGACGATAAGAGTACCATTCCCACCTGTGCTGTTGGTTTCCTGGGTGATATCAAGCCTTGCCTCTCACTTTCAGCCCTGTAGGGAACAGGGAAGGATCTTGGGTTGAAGAATGGCATATAAGAAGCCAGTAGCTATGTTTGGTGTGAGTTCTAAGTCTTATTTTCCTACTGCAACAACCATCAATTTTTTTCAAAGTTGAGGAGATGAAGAGATAACCACAATGCATCATTGAAAAGGAAAGGATTGGGTAAAAGGGCAACACTGGAAGGTACTTTCCTGGATTGGAAATGGACATGGTAAAAGGCTCCTTCTGTCGAGGCTGATGGGAAAACTTCATCTGATTTCCTTGAGGGCTTTTGCAACTCCAAGATGGCAAAGGGAATTGCACTTCAGGATGGGAAAACTAATGCATCCCTCCCCTTGCTGACCCGTGATGTTATGGGGAGGAGAAAAAGGGACAAAAGTGACTTGATGAGAGATACAAAGTAAATATTTTTGTTTTAAGCAGAAGTGTTTCAGTTACAATTGCATGGTGCCAGGAGCAGACTCTAGAATCGAAACGTTAGTATGTTACGAGAAGTGGCAGTGCTGTTCTTCCCATGATCTCACCTGTCTTTCCAGTCTGTTCCCGGTCAGAACACAGCAAACGCAACCCTTGTGGAGTCTGTAGGGAGGTTGGAGAGTTGGTGACTCCTGTGTTTGGCAGCCTGCTGGATTTATAGCATGAACCCTTTTTATTCGATCATTTTGGTGCAACCTTGTCTTCCACTGCTGTTTGAAACCCAGGTGCAGAAGAAATATAGGTTTTAAAAACTAAACTGACCTAAAAAAGGAAGGAAAGTTTGTCTGTCAGTGTTGGTTAGCAAAGTCTGTGGCTGACCTGATGTGTATTTCTTGAATAAGGGTAACATTAGGTATTGTTTGCAATGCAGTGAAAAAGGAATAGCTTCTCTTACCATCATCTGTATTATAAAATAACTGTCTTCTCTCTAGACTGTCTCTACTTTGTCAAGCTCTTATCTGGCCTGGTTGGAGGCTTAGTCTCATGTTTTATGCCTAAATATGGAGCTCTTACCATAAGGTTACTTATTTGTGCAAAAGTTGGATATTTTTTTTTCCTTTACCCTGCTGCATAGGTACAGTTTGTCTAAAAATGGTGAAGGAAGGATGTTTGGGATTTTGTTCACAAGGTGGCACTAGCCACTAACCAGTGCTACCTTCCTTAAGCCTAGCACTG